CCATTAAATCTCAGCGTCTGCATAGATAGCGATACCAAGACTTGCTGTTATCTTCCTGTTCAAATCATGTCTAAAAAATCCCATTTTACCACCGTGACCGCTCTCCCGGCCGGTATCACTCGAGAAACAGTCCTGGAGACGCTTCACAATCATGTCGCAATGATCGATTTGAATCCCCTCGTGACGGAACGTCATCCTATCAAGCCTCCATCAGAAGCCACTCCAGAGGAATACCATTGCCAATGGTATTCCGTCACTGACAAAGTCAACTATCTACCGGGCGGTCTCTATTCTGGCAGCGTCACATTTAACGCCTGTTTCCACGATCTGCCTGATGGTCTACAGTCTCACATCTACGCTCCAATGGGGCTAAATATGAAAGGCAGATGGACGCTAGGTGGATCATTACCAGGAGAGCCAAGACAAGCCGTCGAGATCGGCTTGGGTGTGCCGAAAACAGGGCTGTGGCTACGAGAAGATGTCGAAATGAAAGTCAATGTTGTAATGGGCGGCTTTGTGAAGAAGACGACGAAGAAGGCACATTCGACATTGGTTCGAAGGCTCGTGGAGAAAGCCCACATCATCGATGCGGAAACACACAACACCGGGCTCGCTGAGCAGACGTTTCAAGATTCTTACCCCCCGGGCTACCATTCTGGCGGTACTCCTGCAGCCGGAATGCCGTATCAAGACAGGAGGTCAATGCGTTCAGGAAGCGGAACCTGCTCCGATGATCAGAGCGTGGTGAGCGGTGGATCTCATGATCGATACTCGTATGCGAGCAACCCTCAAATCGCCAACCCGTCTAATTCGAGCTATTCGGATTACAGCCAGAGGCCAGACGCGAAGACGAGCACTTCGTACCCAGGTGTTGCACCGCTCTTTTCTCAACAATCACATCCGGCAAGTTTTGCGGTGGAGCTTCCTTCACAAAGGGAGAGCTCGCCTATGGAACTTGATAGCACGCAACGTTATCCGTGATTGCGCCTAGCGAGTGATGGTTTGGGTAGTGCCACCACACGGACACTTTGGGCTCTAGAACTTGCAAAATAACTTACAGATAATTTTATGGACAGGTCTCAGGAGTGAGCGTACATGGTGGAATCTGCGACTGCCGTCAATGCCTCGATGCTGTACTGGACCCATCCCATCCACCGACTGTCTTCGCCAGCCTCGACGGGACCCGCTTAGAAAAACATTCCCCAACTGAAATAGTCGTTCGGCTTCAGCAGCTAGAAGAATGGCAGAAAGCTGATCTATTTCCAGGAAATTTTGGACGTGTTGGGTGGATATGAAGATGACATTGGGAAGAGCTGTTGGATGACTTCAGGGCTAGTGCCATTTCTTTTTGGAATTCACCGGGCGGCAGAGCTTTTGGCGCTACACATAGCGACGAGATATGCGGTATAGACCCTGGGCATCCAAATTTAAAATACTTCAAACTGCTTTCGAAATGCATCTTGCTGCTGTCTGGGCGAAGGTTTCTCAATTCACACTTGCTACCCGGCGCGAAATATTGCCTCTTTCTCCGCAACCCCAGCACAAAACCTTGGAGCAAGCTCTAGTGAATGCAATCGTACTTGCAGTGGAGCTGGTGATGCCAATATGGCTGAATATGAGACTGTCGTATACTCCATTCGTATGAGAAGGTGACGCCGAGTGTAATGCAAAGCGGTAACAATGTTGTCCGCATTTACTGCTCGACCCATCGTCGAGCTCAAGCCGAGAGACAAGTCCAAGATTGAGTCGGTCCTTGCCTATGGTAATTCTGTTCTTCTAGGATAGAGCTAGGGATGACTTGTTGACCGTCTGTTAGGTGACCGTCTCCTTGTCGGTCTCAACACAGGCAGCCTCCGTATCTACCGCGTCAATGATCCCATCGACGAGGCCGGCGAGCGAAATGAAAGCCCCACAGACGGAGACAGGCCCATATCCCAGTCAGGCCCTAAGCCTGCCGACTTGATGCGAGAGCTTGAGAAGTTTTCAAAATACAAGGTGGAGCAGCTAGCGGTGGTCAAAGAAGCCAATATCCTCGTCTCCCTCTCGAACAGCCAAGTCCACATCCACGACCTACAGAGCTACGAACTACAAGAGGCCTTGGTGAAGGCGAAGGGCGCGAGTACATTTGCGGTGACGTCGAATGTTGTCAGGGATGAATCTACGGGCGTGCCATCGATTGTTTCCAGATTAGCTGTTGCGGTAAAGAGGCGGCTCATACTATGGTCGTGGCATGATAGTGAACTTGCACCCGAGACATCAGAAATCACGCTCGTCAACACTATTAGGGCCTTCAAATGGGCGACTGGGACAAAACTTATCGCAGGGCTCAATTCGAGCTATGTCCTAGTCGATGTGGAGAGCTCTGCAGTCACGGACATAATTGGGCCGGGAAGTATAGGGGGAGCACCAGGACAAGATGGGGGGCGCTTCAGCGGCGCTGGAGTTGCAAGTATGGGATACTTGGGAATGACCTCCCCGCCCCCTCTTGCAACTCAGCTGGGCGCAGGGGAGATGCTATTAGCCAAGGATATCAATACGATGTTCATTGATACAGACGCCAATTCTCTCGGAAGACGGCAGATACCCTGGTCTGTTGCTCCAGAAGCTGTTGGCTACTCATATCCGTATCTGCTAGCCCTCCAGGCGACCAAAGGTACCCTAGAGGTGAGGAATCCAGAAACACTGAGCCTCCTGCAAACGATATCCTTGCCATCCGCACATCAGCTGCACGTCCCACAACCGAGCGTCAGCTTGGCCCATGCTGGCAAAGGTTTCCTCGTTTCCAGCGACCGCTGCATCTGGAGGATGAAGGCTCTGGACTATGACGCTCAGATCGATGCACTGGTTGAGCGAGGCAGACTTGATGAGGCACTCAGCCTACTCGCTATGCTGGAAGATGCCTTGCTCAAAGACAAACAAGGTCGTGTCCGAGATATCAAGATCATCAAAGCTCAACAGCTCTTTGACCAACGAAGATACCGAGACTCGATCGACCTCTTCACTGAGGTTTCTGCGCCTCCGGAGAGGGTTATCCGCATGTATCCTCCCTTCATTGCTGGAGATGCATCGCCACTGTCTCCTTTACACAAGGACAATCTGAATGAGGATCATTTCGAAGCGAGCACAGATGGTGCATCGGAAATCAAAACCTCGTCCGAGGAGATCCCTCCCAACATGCCATCAAGTGAGAGCAGCGCTAAGGATTCGAATGAAGGCAGCGAAAGGCAAGGCGGTGACAAGTCGCTTGAAGGCAAAGACCTCAAGACTGCTACTGAAGAGCTGCGAGGCTTTTTGGTGTCGGCCAGGACGAAATTCAAGAAGATATTAGATCCGGATGGAAATGTAAAATTCGACGTGCTTGACAACATGCCTCAGAAAGAAGTCAGGGAAATTGCCTCTCTTGTAGGGACGACTACGCTCGATGCATTCGAGGACAAAGAACGACTGCTTCAGACCGCCAAGATTGTCGACACTACGCTGTTTCGCGCCTATATGTTCGTCAGCCCATCGTTTGCCGGACCGCTGTTTCGCATCGACAACTTCTGTGATCCCGATGTGGTCAATGAAAGGCTCATCGAAGCCCATCGCTACAACGATTTGGTCGATTTCTTCTACGGCAAGAAGCTTCATCGTCCGGCCTTGGAATTACTCAAGAAATTTGGAGAGGCAGAGGAAGAAAGCGAAGACGCTCCACAGCTCCATGGTCCTCAGAGAACGGTGGCCTACTTACAGAGTCTTCCACCAGAGATGATTGACCTCATACTACAATTCGCAGAATGGCCTCTGAGAAAAGACCCCAGCCTTGGCATGGAGATCTTTATGGCTGATACTGAGAATGCGGAAACTTTGCAGCGACCGAAAGTACTCGAATTCTTGCAAAGCATTGATAAAAAATTGGCCAGAACGTATCTGGAGTATATTATCCATGAGCTCAACGATACTACACCAGACTTTCACCAAAGACTTTCCGACGTCTACATCGACCGTCTAAAGTCGAATGACTTTGCTAGCGACGATGATCGAGCGGCTTGGAAAAAGAAGACGCTTGACTTCTTAGAGACGAGCAAGGACCCTCAGCCGTACAAAGCTCTCCAAAAACTGCCAAAAGATGACCCGAATCTCTTCGAAGCACGAGCCATCATCCTCAGCAAAATGGGCCACCACAAGCAAGCTTTGGACATATATGTGTTTCACCTGAAAGACGCAGACAAGGCAGAAGAATATTGCAACCAAATCTTTCTGACAGAAACGGCCACAGCACCAGTACCTACGCCTCATGGCCGAGCAACAGACATCAATCCCAGCGATGCTCCTCCATCGATCTACCACACCCTTTTGTCCCTCTACCTTTCACCTCCGCCACCCCACAAGCCCCAATGGGGCCCAGCGCTTAATATCCTAGCAAAGCACGGGGCCCGCATGCCAGCTTCCTCGACCCTGAACCTAATTCCTGAAATTTTGCCTATCAAAGAGCTCGAGTCGTACTTTCAGGGAAGAATACGCACGGCGAACACTCTTGTCAATGAAGGAAGAATCGTGGCGGGCATGCGAAATACGCTGGCCTTCAGCGAAGAAGCTAAGCTGCGGCTTGGTGATGGTGTGCGCGGAGGCAATGATGGACGGAACAGGAGGGTTGTTATCACCGAGAACCGGGTGTGTGGTATTTGTTATAAGAGATTTGGTGGCAGTGTTATTAAGGTCATGCCTGAGTACGTCTGGTTCTTTCAAGCTTTTCTCTAAATTATTCTGCTAATCGCTGGTTCCTGTAGCAACACCGTGGTTCATTATGGCTGTTCGACTCGATGATAAGGATGACCCCCTAGAAGGATGTGGCTTTCATCTTGGCAACAAGAGTGTCCGAGCTCCGGCAAATCATTTTGGCATCCAACCATAGCAGTATCGCCGCCATGTATGATTCATAGATACCCCAATCGCATTATCTTGTCCACAATCCTTCACGCTCAATGATTCATGGTACATCTCAAGTGACCCATCACACTTCAGCTGCCGTCTTCCACCTTCTCCTCCCCGTAATTCTCTTCCTCGGCCTGATCATCTGCTTTCATCCCAGCACTCGCTGCCAGAGCCTTATCCTCTTCCATTTTCGTAGTCAGGAAACCATTAACCTCTTCCTGTAGTTTCACGACGGATTTTCGTAGCTCCGATAGGTAATATGTCTTCTCTTTAGTTGATGTGTTTGAAGCGGGGGGCAGGGGATAAGAGAAGGTCTTGGTAGTGGTGGGAGTTGCGTAGTCTGCTCTAAGGGATGTACCAGAGCCATCGTTCATTGAGTCTGAGGCTGGAGCCATGGTAGCTGAGTAATCTTGCAATGGTTGTCGAGCTTCAAAATGCAGGCAGTGAGGAGGGAGCTGCTGCGGAGGATGAGCTAGTGAAAGCTTCCAGCGGCCCCCACTAATCGACTTCACCCTCTCCACCTCCCTAACCTCTTCCCAACGGTCGAGGTTTTCTATCAAGGCCGACAATGGATTTGGCGCAGAAGCAGGCCATCACAGCTTCGGCTGAAGTAGCACAAACGCTCAGATCCAATCGCTGAAGCTCGGTCCCGGCGCCCATACATCAAAGACAGAAAATCACCACAGCATGAATTCCTCAACGTACAGGCGCCCCGGTGCTTTCTCACCTCGAGCACCAGCATCGCCAGGCCCGTATCAAAATCGGCCGCAAAGCAGTAATGCGTCCGAAAGCGACTCCTCCAGCTCCTCGCAAGTGACCGCGCAGTCTCGAAACACCCAATCACCTCAACCGCAATTTACTCGCCCTTACGTGTTTCCCCCACCAAATCCGAATTCTAGTACCACCTCGGTCAACAACTTCTCCAGACCCGCACCAGCACGACAATTCTCTAGCGAGCTACCGTTGCGAGCTACACCTCAGGCGCCAGGGCATAGGCGGCAGCATTCGCAGGGCTTCTTTGAGCCGTCGCTACCTACAGCCACGCTTTCAGAGCAGTCCGCTATGGGGGGGACTCTTTCCGCTTCGCAGATAGCGGCCCAAGCTGCTATGCAGCACCAAGCGTCGTCCCAACATAGCAGGAACCGGTCGCAGACCATACCGACACCCAATCAGAGTCCTCCAGGTACAATCACTGGACGACGAAAGCCTCCGCCAATTCAGACTGCAACAGAACCATCAAGGAAACCCAACGGCCCGCAAACTCCAGGACTAAGGAACTACAATGGAGCTGTGGGTGGACACTCAGCGGCCGCGGTCACTGCTGCGAACGCTGCTCTCCCTCATAGCTCGAAAACGTCGCCTGGACTTACGCACTTTGAGTTTCCTGAGAAGGAGCATAAACTCAAAACGGAGAGGTCGAAGATGAAGCTTTTCTCGAAGCCGAAGAGTGCGGCAAGCAAAGAGGTAGAGAAGCCTGTGCCTTCGCCGAACAAGGGTGAGCGCCCAAGTGGGCTTTCGAAGATGGTCAATCCCTCTGTGACGAGCTTGGCGGACTCTTTGGCATCGGGTGCGTCGTCTATGTATTCTACGAATAATGCGTCAACCTCTACGCTGGTACCTCTGGATCGCCAAACGACATATGAGAAGGAGAAGGCACACAAACATCACTTTCTGTCCCGTCAGAAGAACAAGATCAAAGATAAGATTGGCGACGATCATGCCCTTCCATTGTCTTCAGCATCCAGCAACTCTAAGCCTATCGATCCCAGTGCTCCGGCGTCCTTGTACAACTTCGCGCCAGCTCCGGCAAGCCCAGCATCATCATCATTCAGCGGGCTGGATCTTCGACATGGAGGCCGTGCATTGCGTGAGAAGAAGAAAGAAGATAAAGCTGTGTCTGGGTATGCTCCGCCCTTCGCGCCAAAGAGGGCTGATATTGACCGAGTGGACTGGGCAACCGGAGGAGCGTTAAGTGGTGGTACCGGTCTTGCTCCTTCGCTCTTTGGAATTCCTTCTTCCAGCTCTCATACTGCTAGCTCGTCTGCTTCTTCGGCTTTGCAGGGTTTCGGGTTGAACAACATGCGCTCTGAAGACGCATGGGATTTCCTGAAAGCTAATCTACTGACTGTCTTTGACGGCGACGAGCTGCTTGTTCCCGTTGAGGATCTCAATGGCTTAGTTACTACCCATATCCAAAGGTGCATCATCAAGCGAAGTGCGCCGATCGTCATTGAGGATCTCCGCGAACTATTCCAGAAGGGCTTCACATCTCTAGATCAGACTCTGCGGAATGTCCCTGACCACCGTTTAGTACCCCATCTGGTGGATATGTGGCTTTTCGTCTTCGGCAAGCTCCTTCCTTACATGCAAGCCGTCTTTCTTCCCCTCGACCTGGAGTTCAAAGGCCACGGAACTCTTATGACGTCCCAAGAAGCCGCCGATTTCTGGGGCGCCAACCCTGACTCCACGGACTCCGCCTTCGGCAATGAATTCGATGTCCGACGAATCGTACTCTTATCTTACCGAGACAATGTCATCTTGGCGCACTACGAAGCGCTCAAGGCTACCTTCTCCCGCCTCAGCCTTGACAGTATCAACGTAGGCGTCAGCCCTGTCGTTGACAGCTTCGATGGCGTCGTAGGCGGTCGACCGGGCACAGCAGCTAGTCTGGACCCTGGGGTTGCAAGCTTCAACTCCCAAGGATCCACGCTCCTTGGGGATGGAGGTAGGAGCAGAGCAACATCCAACCTCTCCGCCCCGGAGCTCCCATCTTTCGGCTCTCCACTTCCCCGTCGTCAAGGTCCACCAGACAGTTCACAAGTCACAGAGACAGTTGGACGCATGCTGCAATGTGTGAGTGTATTAGCAAGTGTGCGAAGCGGCGATGATAGTCAAGCTAAGATGGAAGACTTGGCGAAGGCGTTGAAACTCAATTGGTTAGGGAGGGGGAGGACCGGGCGAAATAGGCGGGGGTTTGTGGGGACGAGAGCGCCGGCTAGGCCTGTGAGGGAGGCGAATGGGATGGCGGAGAGGGAATACGAGGGCAGGATGGGGAGTCACTTATAAAGTTACATGGTCTACAGCATTGTTTAGCATAGTGAGAAGCGTAAGGCGCATGTGGGAGCGTCATGGATATGGATGATACCCTTGAAGCGAATCTGATACCAATGTTCCATATCCACCTCCCAAATCCGCTCCAATTGTACTACCTGCCACATCAGCATTCATGCAATTTCTTCCTATATTCCAGGCAAGCTCGAATACTATTTTCAAGCGGAGTTAAAACAGCCCGTTAATTCTCTTCGCCGAGGGATATACGGAGATGGATTATGATATTAGAATTAGCATTGAGATAATATTGGCATAAGTAAGAAAGATAGAATAATAGGTCTATCGAACTGAAAGAAGATACCTTATACTACCCCTAATTTCTTAATCATTGGGAAACGAAAAAGTTCCCGCAAGCACCCCCCCCTCGAAAACTAAAAACTAAGATTTCTTGAATAGCTTTACAACCACTATTAATTATAATCTCTACTTTTTACTACTATTACTTATAATATTAAATAATTAATTATAAAAATCTTAGAAGATTTTAATCTAAATATCGTGAGATATAAGTATATATAACAGAATAAGGTAGGGCTGAGCTAGAAAACCTTAAATTTGTATGTGCAGCCAATCATCAATTCGGGGTTATTACGCTTTTTGGCTAGACCGGCTGAGTCACCGCGGGTAAATAAATTAGCGTCCGCAACCATCAAAATCTCGCCCTCCCGCGCCTCCCTCATCAAAAAAATAGGCGTATATTATTGACATATAGAATAACTTTTTTGTTTTCTATTAAAATTTTAAGGTTTTTTTTTTAAATTTTAAAGCGCCGTTTATGCTTTCCGAATTTTTAAGAATTTTGAAATTATATCTAATGATTATTAAAGCGCAAGGAATTCAAATATCGCTTATCAAAGTTCGCTCGACAGTCGGACAGCCCTAATCAGGTACACATTATTTGATTTTAGAATAACTTTTTTGTTTTCTATTAAAATTTTAAGATTTTTTTTTTAAATTATAGAACGAAATATGGGCTTTTAGAAAAAAAAAGAGTTATTAAATTTAGTTCTATAATTATTAAAGTGCAAGGAATTCAAATATCGCTCACCAAAGTTCGCTCACCAAAGATCGCTCACCTACTTACTCGACAGCCCTAATCAAAAAAATGATTATGAATTTAATTCATAGGCCTTTACTCGTAATATGTACGGAGGTCGGTATCAAAAGTTCTAGACATGCCAAGATAAGGGTTCAGGTAGGGCTGAGTGCTTGGTATACTTCCAAATTTCATGAATAGCATTATTATTCTTTATTTTAATAAGTATTAGTGCTCTATATAATAGCGACGCTATATATATATACGAAGTATATATATACGAAGTATATATATAATAGCGATATTAATAGAGTATATAATAGCGATAATATTAAAGTACTAGTTATAGCGTAGAGAAATAGAGAGAGAGTATAAAGACTTTTAATATATAAGTCTCGTTTATATAGTATAATAGATAGAAATCTTCTTACTATTCTCTATCTTAATTATCTTTTATTAATATATCTAATACTTAGAGTATTAATTATAATAATAAGACTTAAATTTAAGTACTTACTTTAATTAAGACTAAGATTACTATTAAAATTATTACTATAATTATCGAAATATCTTATTAAATTATTAGTCGACTTTAGAAATAAGTCTATAATAGAGAATACGATTTTACTATATCTAAAAAACTCTTAATATTATACGTTATAGATAAGCTTAGATTTAAATATTCTTTAATTATTATATTTATATTTAAGAGTGTAATTCTAGATATTATAAAAAAACCGCTATAGCTATAAAAAGACTTCTTTTATACTTATTATTAAATAAGAAATCTTATTTATAATAGTATTATAAATACTTAGATATAATAATTTTCGAGTTTATAAAATTATTAAAAAATCGTCTCTTATAGAAGCTATAATAAAAGTATATTATTAATTCGCTTTATAATATAAGAACTAGATTATAGAAGACTAAAAAAGAGTAATTTAAAGTAATAAGATTAATATAATCTTAAATTCTCGATAGGGAAGAGTGCGTATATAGCGTTAATTTAATGAGATCTTCGTTAAATCTAATATATAACGTCGTTTTATAGATACTATAGAGTTTATATTCTAAAGATATTTTTTTTATAATAAAAAGAGTTCTTATTATATCTAGAAAGTCGAGATTACTATTAAAAAGAAGAAGTATATCGAGAATCTCGCTAAAATTAATACTACTCTAGAATCTAACGCTAAATAAGCTTAGAAACTTAAGATCGATATAAGATATATAGACCTTCGAAATTCTTTTAATAAGAAGTTTATATAAAACTTTATTATTAAAATTAGAAAAGTTACTATTAAGAGAAAGAAGAGGGAAATTAATTAATATCGCTATTAGAAAAAGATATATATCTCTATATTTCTTATATTTCTTCTTTTTATTAGATATAGATTCTTATTTTAAAGCTTCTAAAGTTCGCTTAAAAGTATAAATAAGAAAGACTTAATATAATAATTATAGAAGATAAAGTTTTAATATACGTATTAAAGTATTAAGAAGCGATATTTATATTATTTAATATCGTTAGAATAGTCTAATATAATAACTCTTCGAATCTTAATATAATTAAGTCTTATTAACTATAAATAAAACGTCGTACTACTTAAAAAGATATATTAAGAACTTATAAGAAAGCCGAAAGACGATAGCTGTATTATTAAAATTATAAGCTTATTTAAAAGAGAATTTAGAAGTAAATAGAGCGAATATCGAGATATATTATAAAGATAATACGTTTTAAAGATAATAACGAGTATAGAGAAAATTATAAGAGAGGTAATATACGATTATATAACTTCGTCGAGCGAGCTAATAAGTATATATATAATTATATAAAATATTATCATTAAATAAATATAACTATATAGAAGTACTAAGAATATCAAGAGTATCAAGTATTTTAGCGCTATTTAGAACTTTTAGTACCGATCTCTATATTAAGAATATTTACTCTACGTTAAAAAGTTACCTCGGCTATTCTATAATCGCCAAGACTTTTTTAAAAAATCTCGAGAATTTAATAGATTTTTATTTTATCGTATAGTAGATAATTAAAATTTATTAAAATTTAAGAGTTTTAATCTTTATAGTATCTTCTAATAGTTATAAAATTTTTAGAGAATTATAATCTATCGTTAAGAAGTTATTCCTGAAATTTCAATTTTCAATTTTCGAGGGGGGGGTGCTTGCGGGAACTTTTTCGTTTCCCAATGATTAAGAAATTAGGGGTATAGTAGCTTAGCACCTATTAGCCGGCCTCAGCCGGAGAATCCCAATCATCTCTTGCTACCGTGCTACCCACACTATACCTGGTACCATAGTAATCTCCATCCCCCGCATTCAAGAGCCGCAACATCGAATTTGATGCTCTGTGGATAGTACATGTGAAGCTGCAGGGCTTCTTACGATGTCAACATTCCAATACACAAGGTCCGGATCCGAGGTTGAGTCGGCCGCTCCACAAACGCCGTTGGATCGCTGTGATATACTCGCTTTCCTTGGTGTCGCTCAATCCCGCGGTATAGATCTGCTCCCTATACATTGGGAACCGACACTGGACTGTCTTGGCCAGAGTAGAACGGCTGAAATCCGAGAGGCTTCGTTCAGTCGACAAACAAGCTTCGCTTTTAAACGCGGAAAATTCAGGAATGCGTATGATCTGATGGAATTAGAGACTCGGCTACTTCCATCCTTGGCTGCTGAGGTAGCTGTATTGGGCCACCCATCGATTTGGGATTATCCTAGCATCGCTAAGCTTGAGGGGATATGCTGGGAGGTTTACCCTCCGGACGATCAAGTGCTCTCTAGGGAGGAGACGATCGATTCTGGGAAAGGTGGTATAATGCCCATTCTTGTGTTCGAAAAAGCTAAACACGGAGACTTATACCAATTCATGACACATGGGCCAGGACAACAGCTGGGTCTGAATGATAGACTTTGGCTGTGTACTGAAGTCGCAAGCGCAATTGCTATAATGCACATAAACAGTAAGCACCGGCACTAGCAACATGCCGAGACAGTGTTTGATACCATCTTGCCAGAAATTATTCATGGTGATATTAAACCTCAGAACATCTTGGTGTTCGACAAGGGTTTGGCTGAACATCCCGCCGAGGCCAAAAATCTAGAAATCGGCACAGGATACGCGGACTCGACCGACGTGCTTGATATACCCAAATCCGAGCCTTGGTATGGCCCAGGTGATATCGTTGACGGCGATGCAAACCCTCAAAATTGCCCATCGGTGGATCACAAATCGCCTAAATACACTGCTAAGGCTACGGACTTCGGATATTCAACCCAGTATACCGGCGTGACTGATTTGATCATCATGCCGAAATCAGACCCCTGGTATGCTCCAGAGTGGCACCACCGTGGCTTCACACCAGCACAGGCAACCAAAATGGATTCCTATTCCTTCGGCATGGTAGTACTATGGCTGCTGAGCTGTAGTACAGAGGACGACTCCGTCCGCAGATTCCAAAGTGATTTGAATCTAGCATCAAATGATGCGCTGTCACTGGCATATCGAATATTAGAGCATGTCCAATCCGCACAAAGACCAAAATTACAACTATTTTTTAAAAAAACCCTGACAAACAATGTACCTGATCGGTGTTCAGACTTCCTCCATTTGCGAGACATTCTTGGCTCAGAATTGTACATTGCCAATCAATTTCACTGCGAAGGGGGCTGACATATATTAGAAACCTCAGCGAAATCCATGCTGCTCAATTTTCGGATCAAACTGATTGGTGGGCGGGGAACTTTCAAGTAAGGATAAGTCCAGCCTCACTCAAGCTTCGTCTCAATTGAAGACAGATAATACCCTCCATTTATCAACTCTATATAATGGATTATAGAGTTCGTCTGTACATCGCAAACGGTTTCTTCAACAGAGCGTCTCAACTTGAGAAGAGGTCGCACGTTGACTCCGAATCCCAGGAACTGCTGATTCAGGCCGCTCTCTGCTATCACATCGGGTTTGGTGTCAAACGGAATCAAACAAAATCGCAAGAGCTTCTACAGCGATGTCATCAATCTGTTCAACCTTTCTTCAGGCATTGGCTAGACGAGCTTCAACAGAGTGAGAACTATCGCGGCTTTCGCGAGACTCTTTTTGGGAAGATGGACAGAAGTCGTTACCTACAACGAGCTGATGTAGCTCAAAGCTACCTTGGGCAATCAGATTTGAAAACAATTGTGGAAGAATACAGAAACGAAATCTCGGATGTTGCGAGTACTTTAGGCAAAAGCCATGGCATCGTCACCTTGCTCCAAAGTCAAGTATCGCGTATTTTTGTCTGCTACCGTAGTTGGGCAAAGGCAGAGAAGCTGGAGTCACGAATTCTAGAAACAAAGAAGAGGAATCTAGGCGAATTTCACCCAGGCACTCTAACATCTATGGCGAACCTAGCAACAATATATCAAGGCCAAAAGCGATGGAAAGAAGCTGAAGAGTTGGCGCTTCGAGTCATAGAATTGAGGCAAAACGCACTAGGCCCAGAGCACCCTGACACAGTGAACGCCAAGGCCGAATTAGTGGTCTCGTACAGTCATCAAAGACGGTGGGCGGAGGCCGAGCAGCTACAACTGCAAGTCCTAGAGATGAGAAAGAGGACACTAGGCCCAGAGCATCCAGACGTGATGAAAAGCCAAGATGCGCTGGCAGTCATAAACACTGAACAACGGGTATTGGACGAACTTGGAGAGATGTAATTACTTCAGTGACGCAGAGAGGAGGATGATATCTGGAATTGAGCATCTAGACATGCCAGTCAGTATGGAGGGTCTAGTCAAATCAGTCGTGGCGCCCCTAACAAATTTCGCTCTGATCAGCCTAACTTAACCAGCGGTTAGCGTCGCTAACCCTATATTAATAAGTCCTGGGAAACTAAAAAAAGTTGCCGCAAGCACCCCCCCCATCGAAAACTAAAAATGTATCTTCTTAAATAACTTTATAACCACGACTTATTATGATCTAGAAATTTCATAGACTATACTTACTATATTAATCAGTTAATCCTTAAATTTTTAGAAAATTCTAGCTCGAATATCTTGAGTAAAATTATAAAGTGTGAAAATACGTTTAATATTAAAAATGTCATGAGATGCCTCAGGGATACTCATAGGGCCACTAGCGTAGGCTTGGCACCGCACACATATGTGCCTGCAGACCACATAGATAATCAACATCTTTTACACCACACACATATATGAGTCAAACCATAATGATTCCTTAACAATTGGTAGCAACACCTGGCCCTACTTCATAGGATATCCAGGCGTCATATCAGACGTTTACGCAAAGCCCACATCAACACCTAATAGTGTGACGCTCCAAGCCGGCCCTCTACAACACTCGCTGTCATCGAGTACCTTTTGACAAAAACCCACGTCCCAATCGATCCTTTCACTAGGCCTATCGATATCATGAACTCATACGCTAAGAGACTCGCCTCATTCACGTCATGGCCACACGTATGTCCAAGTGCCTCTACCGTAGCCCGTGCTGGCTTTCATCGAGAATACGACCCTACTTTTCCAGCCCCTGATCTCACTGTATGCTCACTATGCGGTCTTGATCCTTGTGACTGGGATAATGACAATCCATTTGATTTCCACGCTACTCGATCACCGGACTGTTCATTTGTACGTGCAACACAGCAGAAGAAGAAGCACCGGAATCAGAAGACTCGACGCCAGCAATACAAGAGAAGGTCTCTACAAGCCGTCACTCAGCAAGAGGAGGAACTACAACAGGCAAATGCGGAGAACACTGCGGAGAACACTGCGGAGAACACTGCGGAGAAAGCAAGCGACAACAAGGCCACCATCAGCAAGAACACGGCTCAGCTCTCCACAATCCCACGTCATATGCTCTCCACGGTTCCACGTCAAATCACCACTCAGCAAGCGGAGAACGACACTACAATTTGGCCTGCTATCTCCACGTGCCTGGGCAATATCACATTGTGGTACATCACTGCAATGAGCACACAAGAGAAGGATCTACTGCGTCGATCACAGCCAATTGGGCCACTGCGAGAGGAAGATCAGGAGGAAGATCGGACAGTGCATATTTGGACGAATTGAAACCGTCTGATGTCTTACTCCGATAGTTATTCGAAAGGTTTCACTGCGGCAGGAGAACTCATGGGATGCACACCACTAATTAGCCCGGTGTCTCCATTCATTTCCGGCATTCGAAGAATCATGCATGCATACTTCTTGCCATGAGGACATGGCATTTCTCTGTTTTTTGTGGGCAATTGTCATGAGATGCCTCAGGGATACTCATAGGGCCACTAGCGTAGGCTTGGCACCGCACACATATGTGCCTGCAGACCACATAGATAATCATCATCTTTTACACCACACACATATATGAGTCAAACCATAATGATTCCTTAACAAAAAAGTACCTCGGCTATTTTATAAACGCCAAGACTATCTTAAAGAAATTTATAAATTCTATGAGATTTTTATTTTATAAAATAACGAATAATTAGAATCCTCTAAAAATTAGAAGCTTGAAGATATAATATCTTTTTAATAAACTATAAAATTTCTAGAGTATTATAAATTATCGGTGTGAAGTTATTCAAGAAATTCCAATATTCGGATTTTCGAGGGAGGGGTGCTTGCGGCAACATTTTAGTTTCCCAGGACTTATTAATATAGGGGTAATATAACTGAGAAGAAATTGATGTTGTTAAGGAGAGCGAGCACAGTATATCTATGTATCTGATTGTCGCTGTCAGTGTTTTGAGGACCCATACCTCGGACTTACGTACTTACCCGCCTACTCATACATATCTATCTAGATAGTCGCCTTTTTATTATATGCCGAATATTAAAAAATCAGAAGTCTTTATTTGCTTGGGGCGACGGCGGGGAGAAAAGCTCTCTCATAATCCCTCCCCGGCTTGGTTTAGCAGCCCACAATCCGATGTATAAGCGAGAGCACGCGCGCATATACAGACACAAACGTATATTGTAGATTGTATACACCCCGAACCTTGGATTGGCGATTGCCGTTTCCGATTTGGAAAGAGAGCAGGGCCGCTTGAGAGGGAGCAACGGGATAGCAAGGGGGAACACCGAGGATGTACCAAGGGAGAACTATGCACTACCTCACCAAATGCCGCTCCCTTTCTAGAGAGTGAGCGGCACCACTTCATCACCCGCACCGGGTGAAGCGAGGGTAAGACGGAGTGGAAGGGGGACCAACATGAGCCCCACAGCCTTCGATTAGCCCCCACTCCGCCGGCCTCATACCTTCATCTCCGCCTCCCTCCACTGCAGCATCTCGTCCATAAGAGCTGTCAGAACGCCTGATTGCATTGCATGACCTGTGCGAAGACAATGCCGGCCTCCTGTCTGATAACACCGAATCGATACCTCGCCAGGACTGTTGTGTCCATTGGAGAAAGCGGTGACCCCATAGAAAACATTTAAACATCATCGTCATCTACCCATCGCTTTGTGGACCCGGTTTTCTTTCTTCCTGTGGACTCTGAACTCGTTGCACTTCACACTCCCCTTCATGTCCCTTTCCTTCGCTAATCGTTTCTGAAATTTCAGCATGATTTCGTGCCAAGACTTTCTAAGGCCATTTGTACTTTAGCGCCGGCATTTCAAAGACCCGTGGTCCCGTGCTTGAGATCTGCAGCGCTTCCCCACCTTGATGCGCTTCGATGATGCGCGCTTGAATCTCAAGTACTTTTCATCTCAAAACCTTGCTCCACGTCCCTAGACTGAAGTATCTCTTAAAATGCAGACCCTTCTCAAGCCTTCAACCCCTCACAACCACTACTCTCAGCTACTCAACAGTTCGCAATGGCACCATCCACCCCCTTCAACTATATCCAACGCAAGCGCGCCCTCAAGCATGCCTCAAAACCCACCGCCGTCGCCAAGATAACCAGCCGTCCATATATTAATCCTCAAATCGCCTCCCCTCTCTTCTCTACACTGCCAGCCGAGATTCGAAACCATATATTCTACTATGCCCTCCTCGCCTACCCAGACCTTGCGCGCCCGTATTCGAGGCACAGCTTCTGGAATCGACCCGGCTACACGCATGCGCGAGCAATTGCAGTCGCTTTGTTATTAACGTGCCGACGGGTATACCTCGAGACGGACCTCCTGCCCGTGGTACACAACGAGCATGTCATATGGGGCGTGGAAAAACCGAGGATACCGCCTGGCTCGACAAATTATCTGCTCCATGATCGACATATGAAGCTCTCCCAACGGAACGTTGTCCAATTCGTCCACTTATTTACGCAGCAGTTCTGGCTCGAGGACTGGAAGAATCAATGGCTGGCTTTCACGACCAGTTGGCCAGAGGGCGGACCAAGGAAAATTAGGATCACGATCAGACATACGGATTGGTGGTACAATCTCCTCGGAGAGAATAGTCCGTTGGCATTGGATCCGAAGAGGAAAGGCCGGGCCAGAGTCGGTGACTGGGTGTCTGACGACCAACCATACGAGAGTGGGAGTTGGGGAAGCAGATTTGCGAATCTAAAGGGATTGAAGATATTGGAGATGGAGTTGGAGACGATTGAAGCGAAAAGGACGGAGCTCGATACCATCATTGAAAAAGCACGGTCCTGGAAGTTTCCATTGGGAGACGGCAATGCGCTCGTCATGGACGAAGGAAGCACTGAGAAGTCAGTTTGGACGGGGTCGAAACACGCGAAGGGCATCAACGCTGTCACTGTACCAGCAGGATTGCAGCTTCGACAAGGGAGTACGGCGAGCTTTTCGCCTTTTAGGTCTACGCCGCGGAGTGACGCAGAGTCGGAAGAGCTGGGACCTGGGGATACGCTTGATTATTACGTCGTATTGCTTACATGGCGTGCCCAGAGCAATTCAGAGTACGACGATGTTCCTACGGCTGCTGGTACGATGGCTACTCCTTCGACCACGACAAATACAACCACAGCTACGACGAGTACAGCAGTGGCCCCGCCCACCACCGCGGCGCCACGTGGGACATACAACCGATTGAACAACATACCAACATACTATGGGTGAGCATTGAGTCCTCTTCGATTGGTCAATCTCACAGAAACATTACTGATTCTGATCTTTGAAGCCCACGATTTGGGTCAGCATGAGGCGGTACGAGTACTTGCAATGTGGTTCCAGATTCACGTGGAGCTCGCCTTGCAGGACTAGAAATATTGAGCGCGGGTCCCGCAGAGTTTTTTATTTGCCACTCCAGCCTCTCCATCCTACCCTCAAAAGAAGCGACCAAGTCTGCCCCACTCACGCAATGCACGAACGACCAAAGGACAAGCCCCCAGGACCAGTCCAAAAATGACACCGTAGCCTCCCTCCCTCCCTCCTGGCGCAGATCCCCAACAACTTCCTCTCCGAGTCTGACGTGCCTATGAAGAGAGATCCCGATCAAATATTACAAGTACCGGCAAGCGATGCTGTACACTCACCAATGCGCTTGAACCAGAAACCGGAATGGGACTGACACGGTGAGATTCTTGCTATCTATCGGCCGCCAAAGGGCGGAAAATGTTCGAAGCAATGCGGGTTGAACACGAGGGTTGTGGACGGCGGGTAGACGGCGCGTATGGTTGTGGGTAGGTGAGGAGGCTTGAGAAAGAGAGAGAGAGAGAGAGAGAGAGAGAGGATTTGGTGGGTGATGCACGCCTAGACTGAAGCAGATATATTTACTGAACAGCGAAGATTGATCCGTGGAATGCGTAGCGCAGGACTTTTCAGTCGTTGTTCGAAGCAGCGCTGTGTCTTGGTTTTCAGTCGCAGTTGCGGTGTTGACTTGCCGCGATGTTGGGTTGATGCCTCGCTACTGCGGCTTACATGTTGGGCATCAGTGAGGTCCATGAGTGGGCACTCGGTACGTCAGACTCTCGGCGAAGAGATGACAACGATAGCACGGAAATCAGAAGGCCCATGTGAGGTCTCATTGGCACCTACGTATCTGACGTCTTCGCGATGGGGATTAGATACAATGAATGTGAGTGAGAACACGAGTTCTCGATGATTCTTCTCCCAATTAATTCTGCTCCAGCGGACCATCACGGCCATGCCTCGCCCTCCACTCTAGCAGATTCTCCGATACAAGAAATATATAACTACATGGTAACGACATCGACAGTGACATGAGTAGAGGCTTAGTCGAAGTCCAAACTTTGTCCACAATGTGTTGTCGAGGGATGACAGGCGATTCCTACTCGGGTCCATTGTGCTCAAAGTGACCCTTCTTTCCCTCATGTTTGCCATTCCCTTCTTCCCCAGAGGATGTCGAGTTGTGCTGTCTTCGGTCCAGAACCATATCGACGATCGACCTCTTATGCTCGCCAGGCCTCTGAGGGCCGCCATGGTATCCATCCGGCTTGAACTTCTCCTTGCCAGTAATACCACCAGTGGTCCCATTGCCCTCTTCGATCCTCTTGTCGACCTTAGGACCAGGGTGGCCTCCTTCGTGGTGGTGTTTGCCGTCGCCGTGGTGTTCGCCGCCGCCGGTGGAGTTACCGGATTCTTGGCGTTGGCTGAGGTCGCGCTCCGGATGGGGAGGACCGCCATAGTGCTCCTTGCCCTTGAACTCATGTGGTCCTCCTTTGCCGCCATGGACCGTTGAGTTACCGGAGTCCTGACGTTCGATGAGGGCGCGTGCTGGGTGGGGACCTCCTGGCGGGCCATGATGTTTCTCTTTGTGATATCCACCCTCACCGCCACCAGTGAAGTTAACAGGCCCCTGCCTGGCGACCAAGTTACCCGATTCGCCCTGGGTAATGGGTTGAGGAAGGGAAAGGGCGAGCGGCGCCACCAGGGCGAGTAGGAAGAGTTGAAGATGCATGATGGAAAACGGATTAATACCAGGGATGCAATGCAAGAGACGGAAATTCACTGATGCGAGTACGCCTGGTACTTTTGAAGTGAACAACAACAGAGAATGCAAAGCCGATTTTCCTGCAAGCAAAGAGTGGACGCAGATCTTATACAGCAATACGACAGGCTAGTGGCACTCGATCGTGGAGCTTTTTTGCAATTTTGGCCTTGCGCTACTGCTTCACCTTCTCTAGAATGACCGACTCACCTCCTGGTTGCCGCGTATCTCGAGGAGCTTTTGCACCAATGAAATGTGTCTTCCTTGTCAGCTTGCTATTCCTCTACCACTCTGCTGCATTCACTGAACTACATAGGTACGAAACACTGGCCGGATACATGTGGCGTCTTTTACGGTCGCCGCGGCACGTTGTTCGGTGAAATAGCCCGAGGAAAAAGGGCTCATAGGCCTCATCGGTCTCTTCTGCTATGAGCCTCGAAGCACGGACCAATCAAGTAGTCAGTCTGAGCTTGATAGATAATGTTCCTGAAGGGCAGTATGGGAGCTCCGTTAGAAAATTGGTCTGAGCTTAAGACTTCATGGAGCGTGTGGTACGTGCATTCTGGAAAATGACCGTTTGGTGCGCTTCGAGCGTCGATCAGGTACCCTTCCGTGCTGTTGAAACTGTTCCGATACATAAATGCCATCATGCCAGGTCGAGGCGGGAAGATCGGAGCGAAATGTACACTTTGCTGAGGTAGAGAGGCAGGGGTTGGTTCGGATCTCAAACACCTACGCCGGAGACCGGCTTGTTTCGTGAAGAAAGCTTGTTCACAAGCGCCAAACGTGTTGGTGTTTCTGGACTCCACACCTCCCCAAATGCTGTCTCCTTTTTAATATTACTTTGGTCGGAGTGCGCGATGAGGATGGTGGTGACCGACGAATTTGTGATGCACGCCCTCATTACCTAGGGTTCCGGCCACGTTGGGGCATGCTGGCTAGAGAGGTGGTAGTCGTGGCGATACCAGTCCTCAAGATGACGAAGAGTGGACTTGAAATCTTGGGATCACTTGTTGATTAACAAGAGCAATGTTTTTGACCTAGACTCTCATTGCTTCTTGTAGGCTGGGAGGAGGAGCGGGTGGGGGGGAGATAAGTGTTTGGTCAGCGCTCGACTGCTTGCCTGCGTCTTGAGAAGGACTAGAGGTCAAGCAAGCTAGGTGTTAGTCAGACTAGATTCGATTTTGGGTAGCTGATTCTCTATCAATGTCGGTGTGTCAGGTATGGTGTATGGTTGCTAGTGGGGCCGCTTCGCCAGCTTTTCATGCCTCTCCCTAACGCATTAACGTTTGAGGATGGTCATGGCATAGATTTTCATACGTCGTTCAAACGCCCTCAAAACTTGGCTGAGTGTTACTTGAACTCATTTTGATTGCGCGGACGTTCTAAGTGCTCGCGCCATAGTCAGAGGACAGCGGAACACCCACATTACCCTATGGACCGTTACCACTTATCATTCGCCTTTAACCAAAACAACTCTTCGACCGGAGAATTTTCCCGAGCATGTTCACTGAATGATGCCGATGATCTTCGAACGATGAAACGTTGTATGATGACTATGGGTGGGCGTTCAGGATCTACTCGTAGATGCACACGCTTTTTCCGACGTCCCTTCCTGAAAGGGTCTACCAGCGACCAGGACAAAATGAGCAGTTGCATCCCACGATTAAAATTCTCAAGCGTCCATGAACCGAGAACTTACCATCGTTAGATTTACACAGGTACTGTCTTTTTGACAAGCCAGACGACCAATTTACATCAGACACTATAGGTGCGACATTTGTGAGGCAGAGACTGCACTAGGGCATGGTATTGTACCATCTCATGTCAGAGAAACTGCACGACAAGGATGACAATGAACTATGTTTTCCGGAAGTATGTGCCAGGCACAACATCTGCGTTTTGAGTGTGACCCCGGGCCATTTTCAATTAAAACCCAAATCAACGCGAGTATGCAGGCACCATCAGCTACTCATGCCAAGTCCAGAATAGTGTTGATGCCCGAAAGAGTATAATGTCATCCAATCAAGTCATCCTCCTACAGCAGATTAATATAGAGCCGTCCTGTCGCCACAAAACAGGAAAAGATCGTTCAAAATGAACTGGAACCAAGCCTCTTCCCATCACAGATCCAGCAATCACTCGCCATCCGCAGTCTTGATAGCCCAAGGACACGACCAGCACTTGGGCCAAAATTATCCGGCCTCTTCCGCCTTGGGTTGCCTGAGGTCCTCGCCGCGGTTTTCGTCGATGAGTGAGCCGCTACTTGTGCTTTGATATTGAAGTAGTAGTTCCATCGCTGCCGGTGGAGCTCTCGCTGCCGGTGATGGTGCCGGTCGTGTCTTCGCTACCAGTGTTGGTGCTGGTAGTGGTACCCTTTCTATCAGTGGTCGTTCTATCGCTGCCGGTGTTGCTCGCACTGCCGGTTGTACTGCCGCTGCCGTTAGGTTCAACTTGCTTGTGCATTTCGCCCCATTTCATGCCACCGCCGTGCTTGCCATGCTTGCCGTGCTCGCCGTGACCTTCATACGATCCGCCCTCTTTGAGTTCCTCAGATTGTCCGCTGTCAGACGAGGTTCCACGCGAGCTTCCATCAGAACTTTCTTCCAACGTTTCTCCCAAAGTACCACCCGATGGTGTACCCGATGTCCCACCAGAGATCCCAGTGCTCAATGACCTCGGGGGATTGATACCAGAAGCTTGCCCGGAGATACTGGAACCCTGTCTCCCGTTCAAGACAGACCCGCCACTGTGGCTGACACCCGTACCATGAGCCGTATAACCGCCGAGCGATGGACTTCCTTGGCCAACTACGACAGTTTTGCTGCCTGCTCCCTTCTGATCGCCTTTAAGATGCCAACTCGCTTTGTTTGCATGATCGATTCCCATTTTCCGGGGGCCATCCGAAGTTTCGATGTCAGATGTGCGGTCACTAGACCTCACGCTGGGTATGACTGATACTCGAGGGACTGGGACACCAAGCACTAGTGGCGTCAAAATGGTGAAGAGCCAGAGTTGAGGAAGCATTATGAAAGAGTTTATTCTTTTGCAGTTCAATGCAACCTGCTCGGAAGGACCAGCCTGCTATACGATTAAAGAAAGGGAAGACTTGAAATTCGGTTGCAGTGCAGGACCCATATTCCAGCTGAAGGGGATAGACCTCTTATACATAAAACGATCAAACCAGAACAAAGAAATTGAGAATGTTTTCAGCGTAAAAGCTCAAGAGTTCTGACCTTCGAGTTCTAACCTTCGCTGCTTCAATTAATGTCCAAATCCCCCTTTCTCGGCCTCATCAAGAAGATGAAACGACTTCTACAGTACCGACATGGCTGATGGAACACGACTAGACAATCCAATCTCGACCAAAAGCTTGCTAGAGCAGCACGATCGCATGGAAGAAAGGTCAGTGAGCTCGATGTTCGACTTGCGCGCTGATGGTAGAGGTGCGCCAATGCGCTTGTGCTCTACGGAGTGATTTTCGGATGTGGTTGCGCTTATAACAATCGAAACTTCCGCGCTCCTGAGACATCTTTGAAACATTGTGGAGGATAATTTGCAGATTTGAGTGTTTGGGGCTCTTGGCTTTCCTGATCTTGGTATTCTGCAACTGCCGTGCGGGAAATTTACCGCGATCTTTGTCGTGAACTCGCTATCCCATCTTTTATCTTGGTCCCAGATTCAAAGCTCCTTTTTCCCATGTCATGGGTCCTCTTGGACTGACGCTAAGAACTACACGTTGAATTAAGTGCTCTTTCAAGACACAATCTATCTAGGACTGGGGTTTGAGCTGGGCCATCTGCATACCTCTGCCCAGGCTAAACTCCTACCCGAAATCAAAAGACACGTTTGACGGAGACAAGCTTGATATTTGACAGATATGCCTACGGGCCTCCTCTGTCACATTCGCCAACGTCATCTCAGCACTCCCATTCGCTACACTTCTCCCGGCATTGAAAGCAAAAAGCTCACACCCCTCAATACCAGATGTGATGACCCGATCGAAGTAGGAACCAGGGGCGAAAATGACTATAGTGAGGTTTCCGAGAGCACCTAAACGACTCATGTTATCATTCGAGACAATCGTTACTCAATCGATGGTGCAGAGTCATTTTTCCTTACCAGCATACCCGAAGCCACCTCCAGTACTAGTACCGTGATCCACCAGGCATGTATTTGCCACATGATTTCCCCTCTGCGCGATGTCGGCCCACCACCCGTGGTCTACGCAAAATCCTCCGTTCGGCTTATTGTTGACGAATAAGGCTATACTACATCCCCCTGCACCAATCTTAGCGGTTCCTTCTCCACAAAAGGACTCCGTGCATGTTATTGACATGCGAGAGAAGGCAACCTACGGTTACGCCACACCTGAGGTAAAGTAACTCGGTGCCTCCACTGCCAGTCAGTAAACTGCGACCTGTGACCGAAAAAAGGCAGCAAGAACCCGTGATCCAAGCTGTCAATGTCGAAAATGCCGCCACTCCTGAAGGCAGCGTCGCCGAATAGTAGGAGATCACAGGCTCGGGGTGCGGGGAGGCCGTAGGTTGTGCGATCGCAAGTGGTTCCGAAAAGGGCTGCTGATGCTGTTGATGGAAGATTGATGAGTACAAGCAGGACTGCTGTGACGATCCTTAGAGAACATCTGCAGCCCATTCTCAAAGGAAGCAAAGACGATAGAGAGGAGGGCGGTTTTGATTCTAGCTCGTTTGCAGCGGTTTTGCCTCGCATGCATGTAGTCATGGATAACAATCCTACGGCTATGACTACATTTCGCATATCGCATAGCGGGACTTTTCCCAACCACCATTCCCTCACCCCCTCACACCCTACCTACCAACCTCCCCTCGTCCCTCTAGGCAGCAGAGAGCTTCTTAAGCTGCCCCACCGCATCACGCACCGCCACCAGCTGCATCTTGACCGCCATCGACCACTCCAACCCGATCTTCAACAACCTCTCCACCTTCCCCGCATCCTCCACCCCACCCCCCGCCGCCTTGAACGCCTTCATGAGCCCCGCCAGCTTCTCGTCTTTCGCCTCGCCCTCCTTGATGAACCAGTCCTTGTTGAGCGCGACGGCGGCGGGCTTGACCGCAGGGTGGCGGGCCGACAGTCTGGAATACTTTTTCTGCAAGCGAAGCATTTTGGCCTCGAGGGCGTCGGACTCGGCTTTCAGGAGCAGTTCTTGCGTCTTCACCCAGACCCAGGCGATGTGGGACATGTAAGATTCGGGAGTGGAGGCTTTGATCGCTTTGAGCTTGGCTGTTTTCAACGATGACATGGTTAGCTGAGTGCGTGACGGATGGATCTTTTCGGTGGGGTCTTTCGAGGAGGGGTGTGATGGGCGTGATTACCTTTGTTGATGTTGACGAGCAAGTCCTTTGGGTCTTGAGAGCCTAGACACATCGTTGCTGTATTTTTCCTTTTCTTCTTGCGAGGTGGTTGGATGATGGATGGAAGGTTTGTGTTGCTGTCGAAAGTGTGAGTGCTTGTGATGTGAAAAGAGTGTCGGAGTGAAGTTCACAAAGGATGACTGCAAGCGTAGTGCCCGGTTTGTTGGCGCGGCGATTGCCACTCCTGCAGAACCTGCCGGAAAGCAGACAAAAACCCGCTTGGTGTTTACCGCTGCGGTCGTGCGGTGCGGACGGGTGAATCGCTTTGTTTATCTGGGTTATTATCGGCTATGACTTGTGGACAGTGAAAGGAGATACATGTGATTCCGGACGGTGGCATCCCCTTCTTTTCCCTATAACCGTTCTCAACATCGAACACCCGCATTCACCGAGTCATGATTGTTTCTGCTCCTCCTCCGTCCTGACCATCTACCCAGCATCCTCCAACCCCGATGCACAAGCATATTGACCAACAGCGCCAAATACTGCCGCACCTCATCCCTTACACTCAAAACCTTCAATCGCATATCTTTGATGAAATCCTGCCTCTCCACCTCCCCAAAGACAGCCAGCCGATCCTTTGGATCGGCCTTCTCGGCAACCTCTGCCCAAAATCCCTTCATCGCCTCCTCATGTTTCGCCATAGTCTCTCAGGCCAGAACTGTGCTAAGAACAGGGCGGAAGACAGATTGTTGGGCTCTGAGCGTGTCGCGTTCGTCTTTCGAGCTGACCAGTTGGCTGCGAGAGTGGCGTGTTCAGACTGCTATTGGGTGCGGTGTCGGGCGCCGAATTCGGTTGATGACTGGCTCATGCCTGTGCCAGTATGGGAGGCGCTCGACGAGGCAGATAGATCGACTGGGTCCACGATGAGTGAGAAAGTAGTAGGATCGTCGTTGTGTGGTAGGGGAGCGGCGGATGGAGATTTTCCGGTGACCTGGTGAAATTAGAGAGGAAGAGAGCGTGGGTGGGGATGCCCGTTGTTATCATCGTAAGCTGGCTGAGGATGTTTTCCTGGCACAGAAATCGGTCAGACGATATTAGCAGGTTGATTCGCCATCTAATTCTTAACATTTGATGTGTGGATCACCATGGATTCACAACTTTTAATCACCACGGGGATGAGTCAAGGAGGCAAAAGAGAAAGCAGAGACTGGCAAATGAGCCAGGTAGCACGAATTGGCAGTAGACAGAAATTTAGACGATTCGCCCATACTGAATCACGAATGGAGAAATAAATGAAAGGATTCTGCTGTTCAAAAGGGACAGCGAGGAGAGAATGCAATCGAGAAGGGGAAGACAACGCAGAAGGCGTCACATGCATTGTTTTGACATGTGCACTGATATTTTCCGGCAGCATGACCATTCGTGTTTAGAAAGAGATGTTTCCCCCGACTCATGCAGGGCAGTCGTTGAAAAGGAGTTATAGTTTACATGTGTCCTGCCGCCCAAGCTGTCAGGTTCTCTGGGTTTCGACAACTCAAGGGCGAACGACAAGTAAAATGCCAGCCTCAGGGGAATTGTTCTCATAGAGATTATTGGAAGCGACCGCACCTTCACCTAAGACATTTGGCGAGTGGCAGAGCACGGGAGATTTGAATGCCCTACGATTTTGGAGCGGTCCTTCTTTCTTTTGAACGATGAGTTCTGCATTGCTGGGCATTGAGATCAGAAGGGAGTAATCGCCTAAAGCACGTTGAGGATAGAAAGAGCGAGATACGGCGAGGCTATGTCTATTGTCTAACGCGCGTCAGCATTGGAGTCTCATCGGCTCGTCACAGAATTTCCCAGATTTGGGAGGGCTGCTAGTCTCTGAGATAGCTTTTTTGGATATTGCAACCTCTGGCCAAAGAACCATGTAAGCATCTGTTAGAATGGTAAGAACAATACAGCTATCCAACTGAAGGAGACCACCAGCCCGGCTATGGTTTATATCCATGCACCACAGACGAGTCTCCTCTGCTGAGCCTGGGACATCTTTCGCCTAAATATCAGCGGTAGGTTTTTATTTTGATTGAGCATAGGCCGGTTGGTGGAGAGAACCATAAGTACAACATCCAATGCGAGAAGTTGCCAGTATGCCACCACGTAGTTCGCAACATTACTCTGGAGCCGGTTTGTGCCTCCTGAAACGGGAAGGGTATACAAAAGAGCACCTGCGAAAGCTAGCAAAAAGCCGTACGTTAGCAAAATCAACTTGCCAAAACAACGATATTGGTCAACTCGCGGTCGGACTGGGTTGACCCCTGGAACGGCGCTCGCAACGTTTGTAATTGATCGATGAGTGTTGAGTCGTGAATTTCTCGGGTTGATTTTTCAAAGACACTTTCTAGAAACAATCAGGGGTCAGCATCCGCATTAATCGTGGGTTCTTTTGCATTTAACCTCACCATGAATAACTTTAAAGAGAAATAGAAATGGCAGAGCCAAGCAGCAATACGGCTATAATTTGACCATACCCCCATGCATTCTCCTGTGAGATAACATTGTCTAGATCTCCATCAGGGCTAGGCAAGGTACCGGTCATAATCGGTAGACTGAACTCGTTGGCCATTGCGATCGAGGACCACACAAATCGTACCTCAGGAATGGCTATCAGGTAAATTTGGTCAAATTTCAGCTAGTGCTGAGAAGAATAGACCAAAGAACTGCAGATGACTAGATAGCTCCCAAAGTAGCGTACCATACAAATCGGCTGCTGCATTTCAAAAGAGAATATGTTGATAAGAGCAGTCTATACGACAAAACTCAGCAGACTCTGGATGGCCTTGGGGTCGGTGGTAATGCACGATTCTTTCGCGCTACCAGTCCGCCCTTGATAAAATTACTCGGACGCGTACGGAAGGTGATGTGAACCTTCAGAGAATTCTGGGGGTCAGCGTAACCTTCCTCGTCGCACAAGTTCAACAATAAGACAAGTGAGGGAGTCCACTAGGGGAACGAAGCCCTATTAATCACACAAAGTCGAGCGATATGAGAAACTCAGCGAGCATAGTGTCAGTACTAGTACATGTTGTTGGGGGGTATTTAGTTCGTATTAGGTTCGATTCCTAATGGCGCTGGTACAATGGTGTTGCGGTGCTTCTTATTTTCAGTACACAGCACTTTTGGGCCCCCAAACATCTCTCACTCTTCAGGATGATGTTCCCAATACGAAAGGTCTACACCGAAACGTAGATTCCTCATTTCGAGTTCGAAAAGAAGACTGAAAAGTGTAATTGGATGGCAGAATTAGACCGTCTTCGAGGGAAGAAGAGCGGAGATATTGTGATGGGAGTCACGCAGTCCAGGATACCAACCTGTGTTTGCGAGGACAATTTGAACCGTTTGAAGAAAGAATCACTCTATGCACGACGTACATTGCCGCATAGTATGTTGTGGCAAAATATCAGCTTTGAAAGAAGTCTCAATGCCAAGCAAATCTTCCCTCCCGAGTGATATGCCTACGGTATTTTGCCGAAATAGACTACGAGTGATTAACCGGAAGAATAATCTCCGATCCGCCGACAACCGAGGCAACTTTCTCCGCCATATTTTACATTATGCTTTCGGATTTAAAATCCTTAACACTTCGATTATTGCATTCCTTATTTTCTGTCACTAGCTTCACCATTTCGCATGACTATCTCCCTGTATCTTTCATGTTGGCTACTGGAGAAATCCCTCGATAGCAGCTTTATGGAAGTCCTCGACTACGGGTGAATCGCTCCTAAGCTTTCGGTCTGAAAGACCCACCTCTCGTCACCGAAGCCGGCCATCTTCCATCCCGCTCCCCTGAAGGAATCTAACGTCACGGGCAAACTTGGGCATACCACGTTATCCCCTCTTTCCAAATTCCTACTAATCAATAGCACGTTGTATCAAAGGCCCCCTTTTCTCTACGTCTGAGGCGGGCAGAGGGCAGTGGCTGTCTCCCGTGTGACTGCATACTTGCTCGAGAGGGATGATAGGTACTATTATGTTGCTGGATGTGGATTCATATAGCTAATCTCATTCGGTCCTGCAGATCATGTCCTGGGCCGCCCTTCGGTCCAGTTTCGTAAGATTCAGGTCTTTTCTGTTGTATCCTTTTGGTCGTTGTATCTGCTTAGGTGAGCTGCCTCCACTCTACGCCATCCATACTCAAAATCTGATACTTTCCAGAGGTAACCACCATGGACCTCCAATTCTCCGCAGGCTCTCCGCCTACCTTTCCAAACGCCTTACTAGTTGGCAGACCGTGGTCATAACCCTACTATACCTATACATATGCCGCAACTTCGCTAAGCTATTTGGGCTCGAAAGCCCCGAGCCTTTGGCAAACCTCTATAGCAGGTCGTACTTCCGAGCAACATGGATAACGACAGCTCTGGATGCAGGATTCTGGACAGCTATGAAAATACGGAGGAAGTGGATACGAGATGTGGCTTCGATCATATTCACCGCACACTACCTGATTGCTGCTGAGCAGGCGGATGAAAAGGTTCGGAAAGTCAGGGGCATGCTCACGGTGGATCACCTGAGGGTCTCCTGGAACAAAACTACGACACCATACCTTTCATTCATCACGAGATTGATGAGGCCGAAGCTGACCCGATATCCACCGCGGGCCATACGTATCCCGAGACCAGCGGAGTCTTCTTACAAGGAACCTGTCAATGCATGGCTTTACTTTGATGGTCCATTGTCTTCGCTCAAGAATCATACAAAGGTCATTCTGGATTTCCCGGGAGGAGGCTATGTCGCCATGACTCCCAGGCACCATGATGACAAGCTGATGGCGTGGTCTGGAAAGACCGGATTGCCTGTACTGAGCTTGGATTACAGAAAGGCTCCGGAATACCCATACCCGTATGCACTGAATGAATGCTACGACGTGTACCACACGCTCGTAGTGACCCGGGGACGGTGCATTGGATTAGCTGGGCAAACGGCACCACGTATCATCCTTACAGGCGATAGTGCTGGCGGTAATTTCGCTACCGGAGTTGTGCTCATGATACTGCAATCAACCGATACAGACCCTCAGCGACTGCA